AAATCCATGAGAGTCAAATTCTACCTTGGGTTAGATGACTGCACCATGGAAAATGGGACAGAAGACAGAGAGCCACATCCTCTTCCCATCCTCACATGCTGGCACAGAAGCAACTTGGCACCCAAGGGAACATGAGGCTGACCCGTAAGTGTTACTGCAGGCCTAGCATTATAGCCTGTAGAATCAGCAAAATTAAACCCTAATATATTAGTTCTACAATGTCTGATGCTACTTTTCAGCCTCACAAATGTAAGTGACAGGGCAGAAAGCCAGGAAGTTATAGACATCCATGTTATGAATTCTGAAAGGGTGTAGAAAGTGATTTCTAATTATGACTGCATAAAAAGGTTTTCAGATCAACCAAAAGAAGCCAAAGTAAAATAGTTAACCTCACCTGGATTCCCAGAGAGTTCTGTTGTAGCAGTACTATTTTCACTGACAAAGTTTACTGTGAATCTCCGAGTCAACAGTTCTAATAAAAGAAAAAAAATGTTATAAATAATTTCATTAGCAAAAAGTAGCCTGCAGCCAACTTTTGTTAGCTTCATTTCTGATACAAATGTTTCTCTTTTTAAACTCCATCTTCTCCTGGAATCACCTGTCTGGTTAACTAGTGCACACCCACCAACTGTTGCTCGTTAGATCCCACTCTTGAATTACACATGTTCATAGAAAAGATTTCAGAATATATTTAGGATATTCTATGAAGCTTCTGAAACCTTCCAATGGACTCTATTAATATGTGTACCTGTCCGTGTGAACAATGCATGGGTTGTCACCCATCAATTACCCATTACTGTACAATTCAGCTAAAACAATGCACCGACTATCAAAGCTAATCAAACATTTGCTCTTAAAAGCAACAGGGAAAATCCTAATTTCAAACAGTTTTGTTGTGATGTTTCAACAAGAATATCCATCATACGAATTTTCACTGAGGAAAAGAAAAGCTGTTTGAGAACATGCAATTTGGCAGAGACACCCCAGTACCTCCATCACACAACTCTCCAGTGAGAACTGTAACATTTACTTCTTGTACTGTTCTGTCTTTCCATGTGAATGTATAATATTCTGCAAAGGTCTCTTTTTTACAGGAACCTGTCGGCTGAGCGTCTTCTGCAAATAAAAAACAGTTCAGATGAAAGGGGTTGTGTTGTTATGCCAAACAGAAGACTATGGTATTAAACATAAAAACAGAAGAAATACCGTGTTTAACAAAAGACAGGACATAAGAACTTTTATCCTAACTTAAGTAAAACTCATTTTAGGTGCTTAATTTCCACAGTCTCTGGACAGCACAGCAAACCTATGATGCACCCCACTAACCTATGCATTTTGTACAAACACACACTCTTTAATTCACTGTAAAATGTTATTATCCTGAGATCTGTACATGTGCTTATGGCTGAAGCCTGCCTACCATGCTTGAATATCGATTTTGACTGTATTTATATCTTAACTTCATGATTGCAAAGGTGTATTTTTTGGTCTTTATGATTACTTTTAGCTGCTCGCCAGGGCCAGATCCAATTCCAGCTGAAATCAAAAGACTTATTTATATTGACTTGAAGGGGAGCTGAATTAGGCCTTACCATTTTTCACTTTGCACAGCCTGGCACTGAGATTTGAGTAACAGCCAGGAATCCTTTCAATGGTCAGAACAGACAAAAGTTTCATTTGTGCATCACCTAGCCCTTATCTCTTTAAGGCTGAATACAAATAAATATGTCAAAATTAAGACACACACCTATCCGAGTGATGAAGCTGTACACATCTGTGACATTCTCAAAGACCACATTTGGTTGTATCATGTCTGACAAGAAAAACAAAAACTGATTAGGATGCAAGACAGTCGCATACTCTTTCTTCGTCCAAAGCAAAGCTTTATGAGTTAGAAAAACGAACAAGCAGTTTTTGATAAAGGGACAAACTGCTGATAAAGCACAGCAGGCTCCTTAGAAACACCACGCCTTACTTATAACTAAGAACAATTCAGACAAGAGTTAATAGGACCAGAATGCCTTTCAAAGAAAGTTGGCACCTCCTCCAGTGCATTATCACAACTACTATATAAGGACAAGGGAAACTCAGGACATCGTGATTCATTAAGGGGCTACCATATCAATACTAGATTTATTCTCCAACAAATATCAGCACATTTTGGTCAAAGCAGATGCAACATACCTCCAGCACCATTGTTTATCATCTGGGTAAAAGAGGATTGTTCCTGGTACAAAGCTAGATTAGTAAGACAAGTAGCATCAAAGTTCTGAAGGAATGCTACCGGGCTATTTTCAACGCACTGTCCAGCCATGGACTGCTGCAGAAAAGAACGTGAAGATGAAATTAGCTTTAGCTCTACCATTCGAGCACAAAAAAATTCACTGTACAGAATGCCTGTCTTATAGCCAATATCAGCCCTGTGTCAGAACAAGCAAGTTCTTAGACCAAATGAATTCTATAGATAAAAAGAAATTGATATTTATAAACATTTCCATAAATAATATTACATGACAATTTATGGCTTCAGTCCAATACATCAGACAATCTGCAGTAAGTGACACTCTCTAAAATGTAAAAAGAAATTACAAAAAGTCTGGGTAGTTGATCACAGGTTTAAGAGAAATAAGCAAAAATTTTCAGTTTTAAAGTTATAGAAACATAAAGAACACTTAAAAATGTAAGTTATGCCAACTTTTCCTGAATTTTTTTAAAATGTTTTTTCCCCGTTGAGTTATAAACATTACTTTTGTGTTGAAAAAAACTGACAGTAGCAAGGCAATTCTTTATGTTAAATGAGAATTCTGTACTAGTTGAGGGAAGGGGGGAGAAAAGTATTTCAACCATTCAAAACAGCAAGTTAAAGAATTCCTTGCAACTTCATTTCTTTCTATACAATGGCCAAGACCTGTGGAACAGGGACAGTTACAAGTAGGGAGTAAAGGAAAACCCCCCAAAAAGTCAAATGCTACTAAAATGAAGTTATTACCTGAGGAACTGTGAAATAATCATTTTCTTTTGTCATAATTGGATCTCCTTGTCTGTAACCATTAGAAAGCTTTTCAGGAACAGTTTGTAAAGGGATCTTGAATGAAAAAACCTGGGATGGAGAACTGGAAACAGATTTAAAAATAAACAATTCTTGTATTATCTGAGGCAATATTTACATGTTCTGTCCTTTAAGATTTCTTTCCTAATAGAGACAACACCTATGCACAACAGCCATTCACTTTCACTACCTAAACTTAAAGCACATACATTTTTCAATGCTAAGTTGAAATATACCTGTAAATAATATTTAATCATATAAGCAGCTTAACAACATTGGCATCTCAGAATCATTAGATATATTCACAATGATTTTTTTTAAACTTACACAGAGCCATGGTAGAAGTAACCAAGAAAGGGTGTATTGTCAAGGGAAGACTGTACACACAAGAAAGGAAACCAGTCAGGAACATTGTGCACTGCCTGAACAGAGCATAGCTGGTCAAAAGGCGGGTTTACGTTCCCACCAAACACTCCGGTGAAACAGGATCCACTGAACAACTGTTTCAAGTCCAAGGAGCATTCCTTAAAAAAAGAAAAGAAGTTATTTAACAAGATAAACCACCTCTTCCCACCCCCGCACTAAAGCTGGGCTTTCATCATGACAGATGATTATCATAGGAAGTGTTATTTAAGAAGCTGTGGACCAATCTCCTAACATTCCTTGGTGTTACAGCGAGAACGGAGAGACTGACACAAATGTTATGCACTGACTACAACACATGTAGCTGCCCTATAACAGCCAAACTTCGTATGACCTTTAAATGTTTTAAATAAAATAAGTTGGATTTGTTTGTTTGCTTGTTTGCTTTGGGGGGCTCGTTTTTAAATCTACTATTAAAACACCAAAGGACAGAAACAATGTTCTCACTGAAACACAGGATATGCTACAGTTTTATATTGGTTTAAAATGATGCATTTACTCCTCAAAGCCCATGGCAATAAAAACTAAAGCACAATATTTGACAAATAATTTCTCAGGTATGTCAGTGAATTTTGTAACGCTTCCAAGACAACTTGGAGTATAAAAAAATAAAAGGTGTAACTGAAAAGTTAAATATGAAATCAGTACCTCATCACAGCAGCAGCGAATATCACAGGCTCCAGCTGTCAGGTCACAAGGACAAGAGCCTAAAGGCTGATACACTTGGTTTGGAATGACTGATGCATTTTCTATTAAAAAAAGTAATGCACAAAAAATTTAGACCCTACCTAAAGTCAACATGTAATCTTACATTGCAATCCCACTTATCAAAATTAGGTGACCACTTTCCTTTGAAAAAAATAAGTAAAAGAATGTCTCCATCAAAGTTCATTCTTACTGTATATAACTTATTTAAAAAATATGTTAAAACATAATTCCGGTATCTTTTATTCCTGCTCTAATGGCAGTTTTTCATTACCTCACATTTAGGTCCAATCACTTATACCTATACAAGGAGAGCCATCCAAAACTCCAACTTTTAAATGCATCACTAGTAACATAAGAAATTAGAAAAATCCTTTTTATATTAAAAAACTGTAGATTGACTCAATGGTAAGCCATCATTCAAATCTGCAGTCCCTACATGAGGATCTCCACTTTCTTTCTACCCAAAAAAGTGTGTTAATTAATTGAAAATATATTAAAATGCCATTTACTTGTTTGACTTACCAACAACAGAACTGCTAAAATAATTTAGCTTATAATAAACTGATTGAATCAGTATTGCACACATTCAAAAGGGCAGGAGTATAGCCCCAAAAATTACTGGATGAAAACCGAGTCTGTTGAAAACAAATGATAAATTTATCTTTGATTTCTGCAAAGCCAGAATTTCACCTGTTGTCTACAGGTTGCAATTTGAAGCAGTAAGAGCTAGTGCACCATGGGTTTTAAAATAATCATCAGATTATGCCTAGAAAGACATACCAATATTCAAAAATAAAATATAAAAAAACCCAAAAGACTGATTTTGTACTAAGGCTACACACTTACCCGACACGTTTCCCATAAAAGAAGAGTTGGCATATATTTCAGCTTGAATCAGGAGATATGCCAGCATTTTGGAATCACGGCAAGCAGAAACTTGAAGAGTTTCAATAATACAGAGGGGCTCTGTGCAGCAATCAGTAGTATTGAGCAAACACAACTGCAGGTTTCTGGTCACACTCACTGTCACTTCGGAAGCATCCTGAAAAATGTCAGATAAAGTTTGATGGCCAAATGTACATGATTATACTTAGTTCTACACCGCATTCGGAGAAGTTTCAGTACTGTTGCATATCTCCTGGGGTACCAATTATTTAAGAAGGAATATATGTTTTGGGAGGAATGTGAAAAATATGCACTGGGATTTGCAAATAAAGGAGGCTGTCATGTATATACAGTTTATGAATATATCCATACAGATGAAATGCATTACCTCAAAATTTAGATGCAAAAGCCTAATGCCAGGAAAAGGATTTAATTTTTGGTTTTCTGTAGAATCCTTCTGAGAAGTGAAAACAGGCCCAATTCTGGAGTCCATCGTGGCCTCACTTTACCTACTGTACCAGGATGGCCACTGAACAATGCAAATCCAGTGACCCCCATTAGCACTGAGCACGATACTTCTGCAGAAGTTCCACAACCCATAATAGAGAAAACTGAGAATTTTGTATTTACGTGGCACCTTGCAAAAGATTTTGATGACCATCACAAGCTGCAGGCACGTGACAGCAAGCGTGGTTCTTCCTTCCAGCTAGGATGGTACCAATCAGCTATAATGACAGGACAGCACTCAGGCACAGGACAAATGGCACCTCCAAGTCCTTACTCTCATGAAAAGCACCCTGGGATTTCTGGTGTCCAAAATCAGGGGTTCTCCAAGAAGCAAAATGCCAAGACAAAGAAACCAAACCTGGGCATATTATGTATTACCAAGTTAGCATCACATAAATTCTTAACACATTAAATCTCAACTACCTACAATGACAGGGAAGAACTATTATTTTACATACCACGCCAGGTGTTACATTCAAACTCCAGTCACCAGCCCTTCTATTCCCACTGCAGTCTGAAAGTGGCAAGAATCCTAAATTCCAAAAAAAGTGTGTTAAAACTTGTTACCTTACTGTTAAGCACTCTCTTCAGGGCAAAATAAAAAAAAATTCAATCCCATTGTTACAACTGGTGCCACACGGACAAACTCACTATACCTCTGCAGAGCCCCAGAGTCAAAGGAGCTCTGAGCAAAGCCCACTTTAGAATCAAAACCTTCTCGGATCAGCAGCAGTTCTTTCAAGCGCCGGGGTTGGTAACGAATGAAGCACAGGGCCAACGCAATTATAACAGGGTATGTAACCATACTTCCAATTACGTCCGGGACTGGAAGTGAATTAAGATTTAAACCAATGTTTACCAATGTGTCATTTGAAAAATGAATGGTTTAAAAAATCCTCTCACCTGTCTCAGCATCCATATGATTTACTACAGCTAGGGAGAAATTCACTCC